TATGTGTGTGCGCGCGCGCGCGCGTATGCGTATGCGTATGCGTGCATGCGTGTGTGTGTGCTTCTGTATGTGCGCATGTGCTGGGGGTCATGATTGGATTGGGCACCATCGCTTTGGCTTCAAGCGCCTTTTGACGCTCCAGCGCCCCCAGCAGGCTGTCACCCCTTGCAAGCAGCGGCACGGTCAGAGCTGGATTTGTGCAGACGCACAGGGAACGACCGCCAGCTGGCACTGTCAAACGAGCGCCAGCTGGCGCGGTCAAACATGCATCCCTGCGCCCCTGCTGCGTCAAGTGACGGATCGGCCCCGGGCGGTGACTCACCTCCCTCCACGACCATCCAAGTACCGTCGGAGCCTGGCAGGCGGCACTGGTGCGAGCGGCGTTGGAATGGCGGCGCAGGGTGTGGAAAATATCAAGAGTTTGAACAGACAGGCAGGTGCTGCTCGCGCTGCTCAGACTGCGCGGCAGGGGTGCCAGGGGCCACAAATGTGGTGTCACGTGTGCTGGTCTCCGCCTCTGTGGGTAAGGTGCTGTGGCTGTCACCTCGCGCACACAGCCAGGCGCTGTCAGTTGCATGCACACACGCACGCATGCACGCGTGCATACCCCCCCCCCCACCCCCACACACACACACATCACACCCCCAACAGACACACACACACACATCACACCACCAACACAAACACAAACACAAACACAACCGATGAGAGCCCCACCATGTTGTGCGCCAAGAAATTCAGGCCGGTCCCTGGCGTGTCCCAGCCGCCGTTTAGCCCACTGAAGCCATCAGTCACCGCGTACATCACCTGGAGACCAGTTCGTTTGAAATTGCTCGTAGATTTCAAATTAATCAGGTGGTGAGGGATGGTACGAGAGGCGTTGTGCGTGTGCGAACGCGCATCCGCCGTGGTGGCGTCGGCGGTGTGGAAGGGCAAAGGGGTGTAGCATCATGCGCGGTTGCGAGCGCGCGCGTGTGCGTCGTGCGGGGGATGAGCCTGCACCTTGAAGCAGTCAAACAACCGCACACCAACGCTCAACATGAGGAACTCGCCGCGGCGTCCATCACGCGCCCGAAACATGACACACCCCCTCGCGGCCGAAACAGCCGCGAGCCGGCTGCTGGCGGAAACCCAGCAGAATCAGCCCCCAGATCACGCCCAGATCACGCGACGATCTGGCCGGCGACACCGCAAATTTTCTGCCGCGCACACCTTCAATAAGTCGCTTTTAAATCCGAACCGGCCCACGTAATCCGCCACGGGGCGTGTGCACAGGTCAAGGAACACGCGCCGAAGGGCGGGCCGCACAAATTTCTCGGCCGTCTCCTCCAGGGGCAGCGGCTCCTGGAGCCAGGCAGGCGCCACGTCCTCCCGGATCTGGGAGATCTCAGCCTGCGGTTGTTGAGATTGTTTGGCGGTAGTTGGCGGTCGGGACGGGCTGTGGTGAGTTGGACACGACGATGAGGGAGGCGGCTGAGACGCCGCCGCGGGTGGCGGAGAGGGTGCGCGGCCTGGCACGGCTTGGCGCTGCGCCAGCGGGCGGGGCTGCGGCTCGAGGGGGGAGGTCGGGGCTGAGGAGAGCCAGGGGCGACCAACGCTGGGGCCCCTCTGCGGCGCGCAGGCCGGCGCAGTTTTCACGCCTCATTCGTCTTTTGGCACGATGACAAGCGCTTCCGGCGCGTGCATGGCCCCCACGCGCGCCTGCATGGCTCGCACGGCCCATGCGCGCATGCATGGCCCACTTGCACCGCGCATGCGCCCGCATGGTGCATGGCATGCGCACCCCATGCGCGCCTGCATGGCCCGCATGCACTGCACGCATGCCTACATAGTGCATGGCACGCGCGCCCCATGCACGCCCCATGCGCGCCTGCATGGCTTGGTTTGCGTCCCAGTCCTCCTGCGAGAAAAATTTCAAGAACTGCTGCTTCATCGCGTGGGAGTCCGACCCAAACAGCAGGTACCTGCTCGGGGGCGGTTACGATTTTGGGGGAGGAGCCGGAGCTTGCTGGGTTGGATTTGGGTTTCGTTAAATGTGGTGGGGGGTCATGCACTCATGCTGCTTTTTGGGGTGCCCTGTGCCTTGGGGGCACGCGAGGTGGGAAACTATGGCAATAGGCAACGCTCGCACCCCACAAAACGGGACGCCAGCGCCGCACGCCGCCACCCAGTTTTCAAGCAGCGCGCGCCTGTCGCCAGTGGTGGGCAGGAAGTAGTGTGGGTCGCGCTTGATCGTGGGGAATTTCAGGCCCAAAGTGTTGATCAGCTCAGGGGGCATCACGCCTAGGAGGTAGGCGCCTGGGGGTGGAGAGTCATGGGAGTCATGGTTCGGATTTGGGGCCTGAGGGTGGGCAGATGGTTGGTTGTGGAATTGGCTATGGAGGTATGTCGGGGTGGAGGTAAAAAGTAGGGGACATGGCCGTTGGGGTTGGTACTTAGGATAGAGGTGGACGCTAGGGGCCGTCGGTGGTGGGTGTGTGGTGGCTGGGGGCAGGGCCGGGGTTGGTGCGTATGAGGCGCCCGCGACGAGGGGCCCGGCGGATGAGGGCCGGCCAGGGGCGAGGGCACGCGTGCGTCCGGCTCGTTGGAGGCTGGGTGAGAAGGAGGGGCGCCGCCGCGGTCGAATCATGTGCAGGTTGGGGTTGCACAGAGCTCGCGCCGGCGCCTCGCAGGACTTTGTGGGATTGTGACGCAGTTACATACGAAGCCGGCGCAGGCAGGTGGGCGCATGGCCACGATTGCGCTGGGGCGCAGGGGTGCACGCACGCGCGCACACACACACACACACACACACACACACACGCACGCACACACACAACACACACACACACACACACGTGTCGGCCGCAGCGGCCGCGCCGCACCAGACGAGTGGCCGAGGCCGGGCACTTTGGGGAAGGGGTGCTCCGTCCTGCAGGCGCCGCCGACGATGTGTTTCTCCTCATACACGTCAACCTTGGACGGGGGCGGAGCGTGCACGGGCGTGCGAGTGGGTCGGTGATGTTTTGCAGGTCAAAGGTGTGGGTGGTAAGATCAAGAGTCATCAGGTTGTGAGACCGCCACTGAGGAGGCTGCCGAGAAGGGAGAGGGCCTGCCTCGCCCCGGGCCACGGGAGGCAGGCTTCGGGCGTCAATCAACTGCCACCGCCCTGTGACAACGCGGCTGCTTGCCGCGCAGCCCGCCGGCAGTGTGGACTCATCAGGCAGCGCAGGGCCGTCCAAGCCTGCTTAGGCAGCGCCCCCAGGCAGTGTTGGCCCAGACACTTGCAGCCCCCTACTGCAGCTGCGTGGCATCTTCCAGTTGACGGCCCAGTAGGCTGCAAGCTGCCAAATGAACACCTCGCAATCTTCATGGCTGGCAAACCCTAATCTAATGCGGAGTCGATTTTGGCGCCCTCTTGCAGCCTGTTGTGGCCAATTCAACGAGGGCACTGCTCCGCACGACACCCCGCTGGCCGCGCGCCGCAGCGCACCTGCAGCCCCTGCCGAGCCAACAGGAGTGCGGCAACGAGACCATTGTGGCCTCCACCTGTTCAAGAAAGGGGGATCGTTGCGGTTTGGCGCCGAAGCCCTGTCTGTTGTGGCAACTGCGTGCGTGTCGCAGCAAGCGCGATGGCGCAACATGCAAACGGGCTGCTGCCATACAAGGAAGGGCAAACAAGGCCGCGCTGGTGCTCACCCACGATGGCCACATCTGTATGGTTCACATTCCAGCTGGAAAGACCCCGCAAGGCCAGCCGCGAAAAAAGCGGGATGCCCAGCGATCTGCTACAAGACGTCAGCATAGTTGCTGCTGGATCGTAACACTAAGCAACGTTTCATTCCGAGATCTTTGCACGTGCGGTAGATCCAGACCTCTGTGCGTTGTCAGACAACCAACTGGTCACCCGGGTGTGTGTGGCAAGCACTATCCCCACTGTCGGCCTGAACAATCGTGCTCCGTCAAGCAACGGGCGCATACCTGTGAACATTTTGCTTTGCCGTCGATCGAGCCAGCAAGTACCCAATTCAACAGCCGAAGTTGCTTTTTCACAACTTTGGCTGCTGTTGACCAACCTCGGCTGTCTTTTCGACACATATCTGCAAGCATGCCCAGCCGCACCTCCCTGGCGCCTGCTCCCGCCTTGGCTTTGCTGGCACTGCTCGTCGCGGCCTGCCTGCAGCTGCCCGCCTTGCTCGCCGCTCCCAACCCGCAGCCCGCAGCAGCGGCGGCGGGAGCGCGCACGGCGCCAGGCGCTGCCTTGAGCACGCCCTCCCAGCCCTCTGACGGCGGGGCGTCCTGCTGCGCCGCAACACTCTGCCTCGCGCCCTCGAATTGTGTCTGCTCGGGCAACGGCGAGGGCAGGTGTGTAGGGACGGGCCCGTCACCATTGAGCAGCAGCGGCGGCAGTGGAAGCGGCGCTGCAAGATCTGGCAGGCACATAGGGAGACTGCCTGCTGGCCGGAGGGATGGGGAGCAGGCAACTCCATACGGATCACCCTTGCACTAGGCAGTTGCGGCGGAGGGAGGTGCCGGAGGGGGGCCTTGGTGATGCAGAAGGGGGGGTCCGAGGTTGGCAACTTTCCGAGGGTCATCATTTCCTCGTCCAAGGGCACTCGGCCAAAGGGCGCGAGGTTTAGGGGGCAGGCAGCAGCCCAAAAGCCTGATTGCTCGAGGACCCGCCCCGCGCGTATCAGCGATCCCAGAAAAGTGCACGCGCTTTGCAGACCACCTGCAGGCATGCCCCCTTTTGGCCTGCAGGCAAGCACCCGCGCCAACGCTGCTCCTCGAAGCATCCTGGCGTGCCACAATCTGCCGCAGCCCCTGGGAGGAGACCCTTGGCGGCGGAACCCCTCTCGTGGGGAGCAAGACCTTGACATTGGTCTGTATATGTAACAGTCCCCAAAAGACTTGTTTGATGCCTCTCTACAGTGTTGTAGTGCAGAGGAGCACTCAACATTTACATCACGGCACAGCGCCACCGCTGGCAGCTGCAGCCACAGGCGGTGCATGCACGCACGTGCAGCCATTCAGTGAGGGCAGATCAGCACAAGGCGGCCACGATTGCCGGCGGACTGCGCGCTGCAGGGTCCCAAGGACTTGCTTCAGAAACAACTTGTAATTATATGCATGTGTCACAGATGCAAAAGGCTTCAACTCCCCGCCCGTATGATATTGGCAGGCTGTGAGATATTGTTGTGCAAAACTTTGTCCCCAAGATCCCTACTGTCGTGCCGTGGCGGCCGATGAGTTTGCACACATCCTGCATCCGTTGATGATCGAAATCAGACCGCGACACGCCAAGCGTGCGTTCGCGGCCGCCACCACCTCCGCGAGCAGCGCGCCGCGCCGAGGCCAGGCAGCGCAGACCCATCACCCGCCGTTCAGGCGAACGCGCGAGATGCTGCACACGGTGTACGCCCAAAACCCTCGTGGGACCCGGGACTTTCGAAGCTGACAAGACCAAAGCGGCGCCTGCCGCGTAGCTAGACCGAAGCCGCACTTGATGTTCGCTGCCATGCGGGACCTTGCAAGCGGGGCCTCTTGATGGAGATCAGGTGGCCTGGAAGCCGAACAGGTCGTTCCACAGCTCCCCAGCGGCTTCCATTTTCGAATTGTTGATCGACAGGTGAGCATTTTCGGGAGAGGGGGACGAGCAAGGTGTCAGAAAGGCTTCCTGGATATGAATGTGTTTGGGGCTGCGTGATTGGCGGGGAGTGGCAGCAAGCAGGGCTGGGAGGGTGACGCGACGACTCCGCAAGCATCGGAGCGGCACCCCTATTCCAAGTGTGGCAGCGGGTCGCCCAAGAGAGCGCGAATCTTGCCTGCATGCAACCGCAGCGCAGCGCCCGCGCATGTGAACGCGCGATGGGGATAGAGCGACCGGAAAGCAGCAGCAAACGACACGATGCAGCAGTCAGGTCGAGGTAGGGGGCGGTTGCTCACAATCCGAGTGGCTGTCCTCGTCGTCTTCCAATGGCTTGTCGTCCCCTGTGGCGCTGCTGATGCCCAGGGCGGACCGCAGGACTGAGAAGCCTGGAAGTTGGGCGGGCACGAGCGTGTGGCAGACGAGCGGGTGGCTGGTGATGCGAGGGCCCGTGCTAGATGTGAGATTGTGCGCATGTGTGGAAGCGCGCGCAACAGTGCATATGCGTGCGTGCTTGGAGAGGGAGGGAGTGACAGGATACTTGGGTGTGCTTGTGGAGTTTTGAGGGAGGAGGTGGCGCAGACCCGCAGGGCAGGCAGACGTGCCCTAGGGCACTGCAATTCTTTGAGGCGGGCAGGCTGTATTGTCATTTGGGGTACGGCCCAGACATGGGGGCAACAGGGTGCACAATGTGATCAAAGACCCCACCCCGCCCTCAAAAATGGGCGTGGGGGGATGCATGTGACAACATCATCATGGTCCACCCAACATCCAACACAGAGGGGCGAAAGCAGGGAGGGAGGAGGGGATGCGGGCGCAGGGCAAGAGCAGCCCCAGCTCAGGGGGTGCGGGCGCAGGGGACAAGCGGTCGGCGAGGCTTCAAGGATTCTGGCGGCTGGGGCACATGCCCGCCGTGGCCCGGCGGCGCGGCCTCACCGGTGACTGAGCGGTACATCCGCCAGATCATCGCGTCGTACCGCTGCTGCCTGTGGCTGGGCCACTCCTCCGGCTTGATGGCCGACACGTCTAGCAGCCGCTCGGTTGCTGCCTCCCAGGAGAGCTTGCTGCGTTGAAAAGTGTGTTGGAGAGCAAGTTGGTGCAGGGGGGTGTTGAATTCACAAGCCGCCTGACAGGGAGAATGCGTGCCCGCGTGTGGCCATGCATGCGTGTGGGCTTTTGACTGGCATTTGAGTGTGTATATGTGTACATATGTGTGTGTGTGTATTGGGAGAGGGAGACGGGTTGGGGGAGACGGCAGCCATTGCAGCGGGGCAGTGGGCGTGCTGTGTACTACGCGGCGTGGTATGGTGGCAGCGCCTGTAGCCTGCAACGCGAATCGCAGCCATTCTGACAGGCGCATGCAGGTGCGCGTGCGGCTAGGTGCAACGCTCGGGTGATTCAAGGCCTCGAGGACAATACAACAACCGCAACATCAAATGCTTTGCGACAGCACGCAATGATGAGCATGTTTGCCTTTCAAATGCGTGCGCAGCGCCCAGGCTGATTGCGCGCTCTCACTTGAGCGTCTCGTCGTCCATGGGCGCGGGCTCGTTCTGCAGCGCGTGCAGCAGCGCGGCGCTGAAGCCGGCGGCGTCGTCGTACGTCAGGCAGTTGCCAAACTGCTTGAAGAACGCGTTGCAGGGGATGTCCTGCACCACCACCTGTCGTTGATCGCGTTTGAAAACGACAATGGATGATTGTCGCGACTTAACCTACAACAACGGAATTTGCTGGTCCTTGGGCAGTCTGGAGGAAGTATTGCCAACAGCCTCTCAGAACCTTGTTTTGCTGCGCCTCCCGCGTGATAAGTTACTGGACACCGTAATTGCTGATGGCCGATGATTTGCAGCACGTACACGTGTGTCGTTTTCAACTGCTGCCGTTCGGCTTAAAGGCGTGCCCAGCAAAACCCGGCAGACGACAGCCGTGCGGCGCAAGCACAGCGCGGTGCGGCGCGGCGCAGCGGCTCACCCATTTCCCCATGGCCAGCGCCTCTGCGGTCGTGGTGGCGACGACGTCCGATATGCTGGGGTTGACAAACACCTTGGGGGGCCGCACGTGTTGTGTATTGGGGGGGCCAAGGGGGCCGATGGTGATGTCACGAGGCGTCAGCAGGGTCCGAGGGATGCAGCCCCTGCGGCTGCTGCCAGGCGCCAGCAGCCAGGGTAGTAACCCCCCCTAAAACCCTAGGGTGACATCACACCCCCGTGCCCACAAGCACAACATGGAGGTGTCTGTGCATATCAAGGTGCATGACAGTCCGTCGTAGCTCACTAAAACGTTGCACTCCAACATTTCTCCCCGTCCGCTCGACGAACCGACCTGGTACTCCTGAATGGACTCGTCAGCGTGGTCCCTGCCGGGGTAGAAGCTGACGTCCAGCTGCTTGGAAGCCGCGTCCTCCTTGATCGCGGCCAGGTCCTCCCCCGACCCGATGATATCCAGGTGGCACTCCCCCCCGGCCCCCGCCCCTGCCGCGCCGAGCGTGAGCGACGCCGCGGCGGCGGCGGCGACGGCGGCGGCGGCGGCGGTGGTGAGGGCGGCCGCCTCCGGGCCGTCAAGGCCCTGCTCTGTGGCCGCCTCCTCCAGGCCCTGATGGGATGACAGCAGGCGGCGCGCGCGGCGGGGCCGAGGGTTGGACGGCTTTGTGTGGGCATGATGGTAGATATGGGGGCTCGATGGCCTTGATGGGTGTGTGTGGCTGTGGAGTTAGGGTAAATTCACACTGGGGCAGCCTAGTGAGGCCATCGGCCGCCTTGGAAGCACCATGTCCCCTCACTACTTGCACGACCTGGCAGAATGACCACGCCCGCGCCCCCACACACAAACAAGTGAAGTGAAGAACACTACGCCGCGCTCCCGCCCGAATCAAGCCCTACGGCTCCCAAAGCACACACAAAAAAACGTTCCCAAATGGCCCCATATGTCCCCAAACCCGGGGGACCTTCTGCAGTGCTGCCTCTCTCGCCTTGTGCCGCGCCGCGCGCTCCTCCTCCCGCCGCGCCCGAACTATGGCGGTGTGCGCCGCCATGCAGTCCAGCAGCTCGTGGTAGCCCTTGCCCCAGACCGCCTTGCCGATAAAGTAGGCGCCCTGGTAGTTTTGATGCGCGTCGGTTGGGGGAAGGAGGGGGGGTGTTTTGGTTTTGCAGGGCATGAGCGGGGAAGGCTGGGGCTGGTGGGCGGCAGGAAATTGGGAAGCTGGGGGGTCATTGAGGAGGGGCGGCGCGCGTGCGGTGCTGTGGTGCAGGCGTGTGGTTGCGGGCGTGCATCCGAGCTGACACCAGGCGGTCCAGGAACTTGCCATTGCGTATGCTGCGGACCGTGCTTTTCTGGTGAAGCCGCACGCACATTGGGTAACGCACGCACGCACGCGCACGCACACACACCACACGCACGCGCGCGCACCTTTGAAAACCGCTTGCCGCCATACTCCTCGGCTGTGGCGCGCCGCCGCTGCCGCCCGATGGCCAGGAAGTTCCCGCCCACCCCGTGGACGTTGCAGGTCACCTGGTGACGCAGGTTGCGGTGGGTGGCGCCAACAAATCTTAGTATTGTGATTGTGACCCAGGCGCAACAATAAACTGTGTCACGCAGGAAAAGGCGTGCGGTTGCAGTTCGGGCGATGGCGGGAAGATGTAGTGGGGGTTGTGAGGCGACTGAGGGCGGGGACGGCGTGATCAGGTGGCGGCGCTCGACTTGCTGACCTGGCGCGGCAGCTTCTGCACGGCGTCGCTCAGCTTGATGACCTGCGGAGGCGGTCGGCGGCGGTTAAAGAGGCGGTTGGCGGCGGTGATGAGGGTCGCCAAGGCTCTTGGCCGGTGCTTAGGGGGCCCTGGTGCTGCCAGGCATAGAATACAGCAAATGCCGCCGCTCCGCCTGTCGCTATTGTCAACAGTGCCTCGCTTGCTTGCTCAAGCGATCTGCCAACCGATCTCGTCCCCCATTCATTTTTGACCACACGCAATCCTCAATGCCTGTGCTGCAGAAACATGGAGATACGATTCAACACCAGGGCGCCTAACAGACCCCCAACCCCCCATGCATCCTCTCCCGCGCCTGTTGGCAGCAGAAAACCAGTGCTATGTGCTGCCTTGCTTCGCAGCAACCCCTCAAAACAGCGCACAAGGTCCCTCTCCCCATCAAACCCCATCC